CTCTTGCTCTAGCTCAGCACTGCACTCTTTCATATTTATCAATGTGTCTTGGGTTCTTGGCTTCCTTTTCCATAGAACAATATGTTATTATTTTTTTCCTGGTCTACTTTATTAGCAACTACTTTACATAAAATGTGCTGCATTCAATTTAAAGTATATAATTTGGTGAATTTTGAATATTATATACCTGTGAAGGCAGGAGCACAGTTAAAATACAGATGCCTTCCCCGGGAACTTTTTTTATTGTTTCATAATATTTTATTATTTGGCTATACCATAATTTTTAAGTTATACTCTTTTGATGAACACTTGGGCAGTGATGCAGACAGTTGCTGTGGTTAATATACTTTTTCATGCAACATTTCATATGTAGGTAAGGTTCCTAGATGTGAGGTGGCTGAGCCAAAGGGAAAAATATATTTGCAATTTGCATGCCAACTTACCTTTCATATAATATTTTATTATTTGGCTATACCATAATTTTTAAGTTATACTTTTTTGATGAACACTTGGGCAGTGATGCAGACAGTTGCTGTGGTTAATATACTTTTTCATGCAACATTTCATATGTAGGTAAGGTTCCTAGATGTGAGGTGGCTGAGCCAAAGGGAAAAATATATTTGCAATTTGCATGCCAACTTACCTTTCATAGGGATAGTATTGATTTGAATTTGATAGAGGAGAAAAAAAAAGTTTTCCCTCGTTTTAAGTGCTTGGCTGGGATCCATGTAACAAGAAGAGGTTCACAAAAGAAAAACAAGTTTATTAATATGTATATTCACATTTGCTTGGGAGACAGTTGAGGAAAAGAACACCTTGGGCTTCTATAGCATCTTCAGCAATGAAAAGACCTTGAGTCCCTAGAGGCTGTAAACTGGTAGACACACACACATGGGAAGCTAATGGTGACTAAAGGTGTAGTGGAGGCTCTTATTAACTGCCTCTGGCATGCTATCTCCTAGCTGTTGGGTTCTAAAGTTAGCTTGTGGCATGGCTGTAGCTCACACCTGTAATCTCAGCACTTGGTAAGCTGAGGCGGGAGGGTGGCAAGTTCAAGGCAGAGCTTTTCTTGTATCCATTGCTTCTCAGTTGCCTTCAGCCCAAAATAATTCTACCAAAATGGCATATTTTGGAGTGTCATATTCAGTTAACCCTCTGTGCCTATTAGCAATGTCTCACAGTGCCTGTTTCCCACAGGTTAGCTGACAAAGTACATGAAACTCTGGATTCTTGCCACTTAGGCAAAATGTTTTCTCAGTGTAATTTTCACTTGTAGTTTTAGTTTAAATAAAATCGAGCATGTTTTTGTGTGTTAAAGAATGGGCCATCCCAGGTGGAGCTCTGTGAGTTAAAGGCCAGCCTGATCTCCATAGTGAGTAGTGAGGCTACAGGGAAACCCTGTGGTATCTATTTTTCTGTAAATTCTCTGTTCACAATTTTTGTCCATTTGTCTGTTTATAGTCTGTTAATTTCTAGGAGCACTTTGTATGTTAGATTATTGCTTTGTAGATAGCATTTTCTACTCAAATTCTTGTTTGCTTTTTCATTACAAGAGCTTCAATTGAAGGGTATGTATCTGAGTTTTGCCGCTGAGTTATCGTCCTAAAAAATTGTTTAGCTTTGAGTTCTTTATTTTTCTTCTCTCTTCCTTTTTTTTCCTCTTAACCTATTTCTGTTTTGAGACAGTCTTAACTGTATGACCCTGGCTGGCCTGGACTGTGTAGATCAGGCTGACCTTGAACTCATAGAGATTTGCCTGCCTCTGCTTCTGTCTCCCAAGTGCTAGCATTAAAGGGGTGCACCACCATGCCCAATTTCTTTTTTAAACTTTATGTGTTATTTTGTATGTTTTGACTGCATGTATGCAAGTGCACCACATGTGTGCATTGCTGTTAGAAGCCCCAAGAGGACATCAGATCCTCTGGAACTGGTGTTACAGTTGTTAGCTGCCATGTAAGGCCAGTGCTCTTACCAGCTGAGCCATCTCTGTAGCCCCCAGGCCTAATTCTTAATAAAAGGATTTAAGATAGCTTGAAGATGATTTGTTGTTGAACAACGGTCAGTTAAATACGTGAATGCTGTTAAATAATTTTTTTAATATATATGACTTGTTTATTTTAAAGGCCATGTTTTTGGTATACTGTGCACTGGAGAAAGAACCTGTGCCAATGTCCTTGCCTCCAGCCTTGGTGCCACCGTCTAAGAGAAAAACGGTCAGTATATTAGGCTCTGTGGGATTAGTCCCATCCGCATCAGCCAAGGAATCTTACCACTCCTTACTACCCGTAGGCATTTTACCTATCAAAGCACCATTAAGACACGTATAGATTTATCAGTGTTAATGGGTTTTGTCTTAACAAAGTACATGACACTTAGCAGTAGATTATGTGATAAAGATAGAAGGAACAGTCAAAGATTTAGAGCTGCCTCTGCTTGGCCCTGCATAACCTGATGTTCCAGAAGAGATAGGTGTTCCCTTTGGTCATGCACTTGTGTAATGCTTTGTCTTGATCTGTCAGAAATTAATGCTAACGTGGCATATTTGCCCTAGCATAATAATTGCTTCTGTTTAATGTGTAATTAACTCTTGATTCTTTGGGATCCTGTTATTAATTCTGATTGGCTCATACCTCCCCCCCTCCTTTTTTTTTTTTGTCTTTTTGAGACAGGGTCTCCTTGTAGTGGGGCTGGCTTGGAACTCAATATGTAGACCAGGCTGGCCTTGAACTCACAGAGATCTGCCTGCCTCTGCCTCCCAAGTGCTGGGATCAAAGGCATGTGCCACCACACCTGGTCGGCTCATGGCCTTTTATTTCCTCTGACCTCTGACATGCCTCTTGTCGTGTTGAATAAAGCAAAATAATGACAGCATGCACAAGAGGACTGGCTTAGCT